ATTTTCTGCCTGTCAAACTGCTTTGTCAGCCCACTATTACATGCACTGAATCACGCATGGCTCCAAGACCATTGACATAGTTTGGGAAGATCATCTAACCAAAGTTGTTTGACATTCGTTCTGAATACTAAAAGGCTTTTTTGTCTGATCGGGGGGGCCGTAGCACGAACACAGACATTGATGCGGATGGCTGGCACAGACTTTTGGTATGTTAAAGGGACTTAATGACAGACTTTTCTGATAATAATATATATTTGTTTGGAACCAAATGCTTTCCAGAATTGCTCGTGAGGACAAGCGCTATAGAAAATGGAAGAATGGATGAATCCAACTGTACAAACAATTATGCTTCTTCTATATGCTTGCCTACATTTGTAGACAAACTTTAGTGGGTAAATATACTTTTTTGCAGGAAAAAATAGACACCACAACCCATTTCATTTTCATGTTTTTTTTTCAACAATATAATCCCCCAAATCCCTTGTTTTGGAATGTCCCCCATTCCCTCCCTCCCTTTGTCTGCCGTCCGACTCCTGCACTGGCATAGCCATGCAGTGCTAAAAAGACATTTGTAACTCGATTATGCTTGCCTGTGGGCATCCCAACTCACGGCAAGCTGGAAGATGTGGGAGTTTCAGTTTGGAAATGTGAAAAGTCAAGTGGGCAGCAGGGTTCAAGCAGCTGTGTGTGAACATCACATAAACCTGCTTGAAGGCTGTTATCTTCTCTGTATCGACGATTTATATCTATTTATTTATTTCTGTTTCAATTTGACTGTGATTTTGTTTTGGTTTGTTCTTTGCTTGTTTTTACTTTTGACAATCGAACTGGGATGGAGTCCCATGCTTAAGTGATAGGGCAGAGGACAATGATACAATGAGAATGCAGTTTTCCTCTCATCCTTTTTGATAATCAACACATTCAGTAATGTATGTATAGGAATAACCAAGACGAGATGAGTTTCAAATGAAATATTTTCTGAGCAATTCAATGTTTCGGTTTTTTTTTTTTTAAGAATATGAAAGTAAATTAGGGTGAACTCGGTTGTCTTAGATCGTTTGTGTTCTTGTGTAGCGACAGCTTTATGGGTCTCAGATTCTCATCATGATGTCCTTGTTCTTAGCCTCCAGAGTTTTCCATCCAGGCAGAACTAAGTTTTATATTTCTTTGCAAAGAAAAAAAAGACAAAGAAAGGAATGATCTGATGCCAAAAACTCAGCAAAGCAAATGGAAAATGACCTTTTGGGTCACCACTTAAAACTGGAGTTCAGTTTTTTTGTATGGCATTTTACTGAGTATAATAATTGAAAAATGCGATATCAATTGTCTAGTTATGGCAATACTTGATCTATTTTTAACATTAGGAGGAATTAAATTTCATAGTTTGGTCTTGAGTAGAAAATGTGAATTCCTGCCCTAATAAAAAGTGTTGCGAGTGTCCATGCGCCACTTTTGCGAATGAATGCCTCATGTTACCCAGCCGCCGGTGACCACGATTTGGGCTCGCATCCCCTCAAGGACCCCCTCATGCACACACACAGGCAACCATTAATAGCTCAACAGCAGCAGTCTCTTCTCGGAGGAGGGTATTTTAGCTGCCGAGGCCCATTGCCGGTACATCAGTCACATGGGTACATTGGTCAAGTCATAGCCTGACAAATCCGGGGTGTTATTAGGCCTTTGTCCAGCCTGCAGCTGTCTCTTACCAAGCCGGAGGGAGCGGATGGGGAGGAGGGGTGATGGGCTGACGTGAATTCATGACCTATCCCTGCAAACGATGGCTTAGGCATTTAGAAATGACAAATGACACGGAGGGACACCAAAGAAAAGAGAGAGAAAGAAAACATCTATGATCAGATTGCTTTTGGAACATGAAGAAAAGTAATGTGGAAGTGCAAAATACATCAAATCATCTTTTCTATTCAAATTCCCGGTTTGCAAATTTTCCCTGAAGAATAAAAAGACATTTCATCTCCGTTCTTATAAAAATGACCAAATGTATTTGTAGATCTAATCGTTTTTCTGCCATCACGGGAGGTCTCGGTGGCTGTCCGTCACCCTTCCAAAAGAACCTTTCTCATTCTTTCTTTGAATTAAATGTGAGTCTACGGTGCGATGAAATAAAGATGAGCTGAGCCTTAGACTTGACGCAAGATTGCCAGAGGGCGCCGGCTTAACAAGTCCGTCCCATCATCTGCTGCACTGAGATACAAAGTTATATAAAAAAAGATAATGCTAAGAATTACAATCAACAGTTTTCAGATAACATTGCATTTTAAAGCCATATCAGCTTCTTTTGCTGTAAATGACAACAGAAAAAAAGGCAACGCTTTTCCTTTCCTTGAAATTTGATACTTGTAATTAAATCTGTTTCTGTTATTCTGATCAGTCTGGCCTAAACTCTGACATGCATATGCTCATGTGACCTATGCTGTGCTCTTTCTTATTGGATTACTCATTTATTAGCTCGTGTGTGAGTGTTTATGGGTCAGACTGAGACTCAGCACATGTCAGAAATGAATGCAGGGACTGTGGCGTTGTTTGCATCCTTGCTTTAAGTCCTGACCGTGGTGTCGGAGACATCTGCCTAATCCTCCCGGATCAAAGGATGACTATTACACCGACGGGCATCCAGAGCCCCGACACCCCCCGACCCCAAAAGCAGCTTTCGAGGGCTCATGACCTCTGTCAACAGTTCAGGTTAAAAAACACAGGTGGGATGGAAGCGCGACATATGTAAACACAGCCGCTCATCACAAAGCTGCATTCATCAACGGATACATTTCACGACTTCATATGAATTTGATGGGATTTTTTTTTTTTGTGATCAACATGACAATAAATATCTTGACTCTTGATACTTGGGCGCCTTTCATACAAAATAAATGTATCAAGGGGAGCACATACAGGGGAAAAGTGGGTGGATATTTAAATATATTCAGAGGTATCATGGCCACTATGAAAAGTCAACTGCTGACATTGAGTACACAAGTTAACAGGCAAAAGGAACGATGGTGGCCACGAGGCTTGTGTGGCACACTGTTGACATCTTGACCTTCTCTCATTTCAAAAAAAAAAAAAAAAAAAAAAAGGTGAGCAGTGCCTGGCAGTGGCCTAAGTCCTGTCGGTTTTTTGGATCACATTGCGGAAATATGCATGTACGCATGAGTCATTTTATACATGTGACCTTTTGTCTTGTGCAAAAACAAATGACTTGAATTAGATTAATGCAGGGCTCATTCATATGTGCTTTCACGCATCACATCTGCTGATGTAAAAGCCCATTCCAGAAGCATTCAGAGTACTGGGAACTTTACAGTTGGTGCATGTGTAGCAGAACTGATTGATGACATCATTTAAAAAAAAAAAGATTTGGGAGATAAAATCATAATTCTTTTTACTCCCAGTCTTACAACAAGCTGGTCTAGCGCTAGGTTGCAAGATTTAATGCAACCCTTTCTTCATCAAATGTTTTTTTTTCAAGAATGAAACTAATTTAGTACCTCCCAGTGGAGAAAGAAGCTCCTGCAAGTAGTGCGGATATTGCCGAGGCCCATGCCATCATGTCTTGTCAAAGGCCGTTATCGCCTGCGTCTTTAGTGCAACGATGTTCTACTGGCGTTCTCTACGAACTTTTCTATGCGAGTGACCTCTCTCTGCACCCAATTCTGCAGTCTAATGTCCAATTATGGCTGAACATTTGACTTGGTTAGTTGAAAATCTATGAAATGTGCTGCATTCCACTGAGTTAAGAATGTGATTTGTTTTGTCAGATTTCGGCTAAGGACGAACCAGTGAAATTACAAAAAATGATGTAGGAAGATATTAGCGGATGAAAGCCATTGATTTTCTAATGAGCAGCTTTTCACATAATGAAAGCATTAGCTTCCTCTCACTCTAGTGAACCACTTAATTGCAACAACCGTATAAAGTGTATGCTTCCTGCGCTGCTTTTCACATGAACCATCGGAAGCAAATGGGGTATAACTAATACAATTGATTTTGGTAAGACAGTATGAAAGAACAGGATAGCCACCAAGTCCTACTTAGGCCAGCTAACAAAATCGCTGCACCGTCGACGTCTATTGTGCTTTTCGTGATACTTGATTGGCAGTACGTCCAAGCGCTTATTATCATCGGCCATCTGTCATCAGAGTTCTCCATGCCCAAATAAACAATGGCTTGCACCACTGATTTGCGCACCCCCGCAAGTGTCGCTTTCGAAGACGTGTACGATAACAGCGCTGCAGGTCCTCAGTTCAAATTTACACTTTTTTTTTTAATCTCCCTGCTGATGTCGGCCTTTGTTCTGATTGACTGCGTTTTTCTTTTCTCTCACATGCTCTTGTTTAACCTTTCACTCTTTTTCACTCTGCAGCAAAGCCAGACACCCCTTGTCCCCCCTTCTACTTTTATCTCCCGTTCCTTGGCTCACCTTATATTACTGCAGAAATTCCTCACCTTTTGTCATTTTCATCCCTTTTGTTTGCATACACGCGGCAAGGCAAGCTGGCTTTCCCATCATAATTATGTGTTTTGTCGTGCACCGCCTCTGTAGCTGGTGATAAAAGGGGAGCCTGATTAAGCTGAAGGAAAGGCCATTGATTCTTATTGAATGGCCTCTCAAAGCCCTTTAATGTCGGGGAAGGTTTTGCACAGTGTTTAATGACAGCATGCCAAAAAAAGCTCGCAATCTTACTTCCGAAAAAAAAAAAAAAAGACATGCACTGCGGTGCCCTCTTATGTAAAGGTCAGAAAACCATGATTGGGCTTGTCTTGACCTGGGTGGAGAAAGCTGAGTCAGCTTCATGAATTTTTACATCACAATTTTACCCCTCCATCTCTTCCACTTTGGTCGACATGACGATGCTGTCTCATGCTCCAATCATGACAGTGACATGACAGCATACTTTCTTATAGACTTCTTAATGGTATATTTTAAATTTAAATGTAAATGTGTCAACACACTTTGGGCTGAAAAAAGTTTGCTTTGCTCTCAGCAGTCAGACGGCTCCGAGTAACCATGACCGGATACAAAGGCTGAGGCACGAGTTCCAGCAGGCGAAGCAGGACGATGACATGGACGACCATCCGCACTCCTACGGCTTGGATCCGTCTCGGGTGAGAGTTTATGTCCACGCAAACAAAAATATTCTCGTATAGATGTGTTTTCAGAATGATGCGGCTCAGGATTGCACCGTTGGGCTAGATCATTCCAATGGCCCTCTCGAGCAGTGTCCGTCGAAACATCTCAGAATAAGATTGATCCCAATGAGACACCTTGCCATCTAAACAGCGCGCTAACACACACGTAAACACACTTTTAGTTTTCACATACTGTTCTCCTCTGAATTCTAAAAGATTTTGTGCTGTAATTCCTCACTATTCCTTGATCATTTTCTGTTGCCAAGTGCTCTGTGCCTCAACTGTATCAGCGATTGGGTCTTGATTTGTTTCTTTTGATTATAGTCTAGTAACGGGATGGAGATGCAAAGCGGGCGCCATTCGGTAACCATGGAGTCTCAAGTCCAAAAGCAGCACCAGGAGGACGGGGGCAGTTTCCGCCAAGCCCAGAGACAGTACAATTCTCTGCCACGGTAAGTCTCTTCTGTCCGTCTGCAAACTTTAAAATCAACAATGACATGTGGACAATTGTCACACGGTCTGATTGTTTTTTTTTTTTTTCTTTCAAGGAGTACGACAATGCATTTCACTGTGGATGCAAATGTCATGCTAAATTCCACTCTGTGATATTTTTGTATCATCATGACTGATCCATTCACGTTGTGTGAAACTTATTTCAATGGCTTCGGTTCTCCCCTTTTGCTCAAACACATCTTTTTTTTTTCCCAATGCCATCCTGTTTTCATTTCCATTGCTGTCTCTTAACAGTCCCATTTGGGTCGATGAAAACATGTTTGCTTCTGCGGATATAGATTTGCGGTCCACATGGACGCATAATCAATGCGGTCTGTATAGGCCAGACCAATCCATGCATTCCTTTCATAGGTGTTATCTGCTGGCATCGCATATGATGTGACAGTTGACTCCCAGGCTCCCCTCCCACGGTCGGTGGCTTCTCTTGGGAAAGTTCATCTGGCCAGCGATAAAAGACGGACTGTGGTGGCTTTTGAGATGCATTCCTACCATAATCTCCTAACACTCTTAGCGGGCGCTTGCGTGAATTCAGGCTTCGTGTTAAACTATGGCAAATGCCTTTCATCCCTAGATTAAAAACCACGATTCTCCTCAGTTCCTCCATTTTCAGACATGAGTTCTCCTCGGGAATTCCCTTTTAAAGTAAAAAGTCCAATCCCAAAGGAGCTTCCAGAAAAATCCATGCTAGCTGCATATCTGATGACAGGCAGGCTTAGCTTGCCGTCTGGGATGTGAGGATAGCAGGAGCACTAATGAAGGGTTGTTGTTCGAGCAGGATTAGCAGCGGCAGGCGGTGGTGGGCGAGGAGCAAGTGTGTTAGAGGGAAAGAGAGACCGCTGATTAGCTTGAAAGAGACACAACATGCATAACACACACATGAATGTAGTTAAGATAAGATTCTTAACAGCGGGGAGGTTAAAGGAGGCCGGCGGCGCACCCTTCCACTCGAGCAGCTCCTGCATTCCTGAGAAACAAGTCGCATATATATATATATATATATAT